GTCTTTTGGTTGGATAAATTTTCTTTCACGGACATTATGTGACACATTGATATGAGAAAATGGGGTTTGAAACAATATCCCTCTCCTCCACAGTCCCACAATTAGTTTCAATGGCCATCATGGCACAGCACTGACCATTAATTACCTCAAGCCTCAGCCTGCTGTAATCTCCCCCAGAGGAGCTCACTGCCTCCAAACTTTAGAAACTGTTTCTTCATTGGATCAAGAATTGTACTTAACTAGGACTAATTCTCATAAAATCAGCCACAAATTCAATTTTATAAACACAGTGATAATTTCCCAAGAAGATCCATGGTCCATTGTAGCAGTTATTTCTAGGGATTGACCGGAAGCAGTAAGAGCAACATCCAACATGAAGAAGAATCACAGTGAGTGGGATGATGGGAGCAGTTTCATTTTATACACAATTTAACATCAGCTAAAAGCAAGTCTTTCTGTCTTCCCCATCCCTCTTCCAGCCATGCATTCCCATGTTTCCTTTACACAGTCATGCAGCTGCAAGGCCCAAAAACATCAGCCCCCTTGGCCCAAGAGAAAATTAACCTACCAGAATAGTATTTCCTGCAAAATTTTACTCTTTGGATATAGTCCTGAAGAGAATCATGGCTGCAGATGTAACTGATATTGGTGCCATCATGGGTAAAACAAACTCAGCTAAGGGAAAATTAATCTAATGCATGGCTAATTAAAATAGATTTGGATAGTGATAAACCAAGGCAAATTAAAACACCACCTTTCCCCATATCCTCTTTCCCAGGCTCAATATTACTCCCTCATCCACAAATCCTCCACCCTCTCCTGCAAGAAGGGCTTGTGGGGCTGTTTCTCACTTTTTTTTCCTCACTCCTTCCTACCCATCCTGCTCCTCACAGCCAGGGCCTTAACACCTGCAAACACCAGGGACAAAAGAGTTTACTCTTGGCTGCAAAATGCAGCAGTGTTTTCGAGTATGGACAATTTGATCTCAACTTTAAACCAAATCTCAAGCTGACAGGGAGCAGGACCAGATCTCCAGCAGAATTGCATTGCGTGGCTGTTATCAGTCACAGCTCACATTTTAAGGAAAAAAATTCTAAAAACGATGTTCAGTAGGATTTCCATCACATGTACAGTACATCCAGAAGATGTTACAATCCAGGCTGGCGTCATGGCCTATTGGCACTTACCTGGAACACAGTGGTTTGCCACAGGTGAGTTGTACCATGGGAATCCTTGCCTGAGGTTGTGCTCTGGTGGTCTGTTGTTGATACCATTCACACACAGGTACCTGAAGTGAAACCAGGGTTGCAGAAATTGTTATCTTTAGGAAAACTTGTATATTATAAAACAGTGCTGTGAGCCCTTTAGCTCCTTTTAGCACAGTCATTGTTTGGCTACAGCAGATTATTTGCCCAGAGGAGTCTGTGGTTTGGTTCTTCACTTGGCTTGCTGGAGCCCTACACACCCAGCAGATATTCCCAGATAATCCAAAAAAGAAGTATGAGTCATCAAAACATCTCACACCACCTCATTTCTCAGGATTGGCATTAAGGGACCCATAAAGTTTGAGTCCTCTAAGACAAATACCTCCATGGATGACATCCTGGCTCCACTGAAGCTGATGGCTGAGCTCCAAGAGACCTCACTGGGGAGAGGATCTCACCTCAGACACTTGCCTTTGTGTGATGCTTTCTGAAAATGGCATTTCGTTTTGAAAGGCTTTTTGTTTCAGAAAGATGAGCTTAGCTGGTCTCTATCTCTACGCCTTAGTGGATATTTGCAGCATCACAACATTCTCACTGACACCTCAGAGATAAGGGAGGGTATGATGGTTTAGGCACAAGGCCAAGGGAAATCAGGTCTCACCGTGCCTGCTGCTCATGTTAGCACACTTTATTTGCTTCATTAGGCAGACAGGAGTGGGTACAAGACACATGTGTTGTGTTTAAATCACTATCAAGTGATACTAATTGTCTTTATGGGGATTTAAGCCTCAGGTTATGTGGAATGTGTACAATCTAATCTGTGTCACCAGAATCTAAAACAATAAAAGTCAGTGTACAAGTCCTCCTTAGCTCCATGTTGTTATCTCCCAATGGAGTGAATAATGAAGCTCCCACAAGCTTTCCTGTAAAAAATGAGCAAAAAGAAAAGAGGTAAGTTTATTAATCAGTAATGCTGTCTTTAGACCCACTGCAGGAGTCCTTTGCCACAAGCTTCCATATAAAATCCATATAAAATACAAATTTCCTGCAAGTTATGGGCTCTCAGCATTTCTTCATCTTCAGGCAGATCTGGCCTCTGGTATGAGACAGTGGCCTTTTCCCAACCCTCCTGCAAGGAATCTACAAAACCTCTGCTGACACTCCATGAAGGCCAAAAGCCACAGAAATTCTGTGTTTGTCTTCAGTTTGCTGTAAAACAAAACAAGCCTTTCACGTGAAAACCAAGTGTAAGGGAGCAGTTCATACCTTGTCTCTTCAAATAACCCTTGGAAGATGAGCCCTAATGGCATGTGAAGGATGTATCAATTCTTTGAAAATCCAGGTTTCTTGGTTACTGTCTCTTAGTCTTTCTTTCCTTCAAAATAATTTTGATTTCCCTCTACCACTTTCTATTGATTTCTGCTCTCCCCTGCTGGCAAATTAATTCTCTATGCTCTGCTAACAAAAGCCTTATTTCCCTGCCCAGCAACATTATAAATTTTCCCTTCAACTCAATTCTCTCCTAAACCTTCTCCTATCAACTAAGCTGACCTGAAAAGCAGGTTCTTTGCCTAAGTCATATTTTAATATGAAAATGGGACTCCCTATTAAGAGGACAGGATGTCAGTCACCCAGAATTACGCTGATCCAAATTATGTTAGAGTGGCAAACCTTCTGAGAATGAGGAGATGGTGTTCAGTTATTTGCACAAACACCATAAAAATTGGCCATGCAATTCAGTGTCTTTCAACAGATAAATCCTCCTACCACTGAATGACAGAACTCTTGATATAGATCTCTGACTCAAAGTAAACAACTCACATAACAACTGGAAAAAGAATAAATGATTAAATTGCAAGTCTTCATTTTAACAAGCATGTAAATACACACTTGAGAGCTTCCCATCTAATCCTGTGTCGTTCTGCTCAAAACTGGGTTACAAAGACTGTCCAGCTGCACAATTACCATGTTCCACTGTGAAATATTGCACCTGTAATGCCATAGCCATCAATTCCTTTGGGTACTTTTTCTATATTCTGCTTTTAATTTACATTTTAAGTAACAATTAGCAGTTACCCTAACCTTGCTAGTAACTCCAGATTTATTACCAGCTTGATTTTATTTTAGGCTTCCTTCTTTTCACAGCACCTTCTGTACTGTCCTTTACAGGACATACTCACATTTACAGGTGAATGTCTGCAGTTGCCCTAAATCAGGTCCTCTCCTCCACCTCAGTCAAATCTCTCATATGCCACAGCATTTCCAGAAGTTAATTCACAAGCAGAAAAGCACAGCCTTCATATATACAGAATATAAAAACTGTAACGAGTCTTTATTAAAAAAACCCCAAACCAACCAACCAACCAACCAAAAAACCCCACAACTGGAATTCAAATCACCTCTTCAGATATTTTAGTGTAACTGGAATTCAAATCACCTCTTCAGATATTTTAGTGTAACAAGCCTGTCTTCCATAACTTGCTCAGTTGGATCCCTTTGAAATCACTCATTGAAGGCTCATGCTGCAAAGGCACAGGAGCAAAATAAGATAAAAAATGGGTTACGTGTCAGGTTTGGTTTGACCTAATAGAAACTTTAAGCAAGAAAATGTATTATGGCTGAAGACTGAATAGGACTACTCTGGCACCGACCTGTCTGCTACAAAATCCTCTAGGCCATGTAATTGTGTGTTGGAGTATAAAATCAACAGTATTCAAATTTTATTTCTATGTATTTCACTTGCTCACCCTTTATAATTTCAGCAGCTATTGCTGTCAGCTGTGTAATTTCCTCTTGGGCTGTATGTGCTTATGCCAGTGGTTACTCATCACTCACAGGGCTTACAGACCACGTCATTGCAGTGTCCCTCCTCACCATTTATATTTCATAAGCCTCTTTTAAGCTCAAAATAGAACTAGTAGCACAATTAGACCCATAATTAAAGTAGTGTAAGGTATTTCATTGGTTTAAGTGGGAGTTTGATAGGAAATTCTGCTCCTCTCAGTCTTCAAAATTGCTGATACTAAAATTCATGCATGCTAAGACAGTTTTCTTCTCATATGTACCTTAGGTAGAGAACTCTGCTCCAAAAAGAAGAAAAAAAAATCATTGGGGTATTGTATAGACACAAAAGTAAAGTAAAAACAAACCGCAAAAATCCTATGCTGGATCCAAACCTCCAAAAAGAGAGATTAAGCAAGTAAGGGGAAGAAACAATACATCAATTTACATTTTACAAAGCATTATGCCACACTTATGGCATGAAAGAGTGAATTTATGCCAAAATTTCTATGATGTCAGTAGAGATAAGCACTTTTAGAATAAAAGCAGGCTAACACTGTTCCTTTAGCTTTTCTAATAACAAGGCCATTTTCCAATTTGGGTATGCACAAACCCATATACATCATCTTCAACTTTTCACTCACTGCACAGTGAAGGGTCCACAGAATCACTGAAGAATTAACCACATCAGAGCAGTTCTAAGGGCTGTGACAACACAGCTTCTGCTGCATCATCTCTGGAGTGCTGCAGGACAGTCCTTCATTTCCTCAGACCATGAGTGTACCACTGAGGATCCAACCTCAAGAACTGTATTTCAGCACAAACTGTTTTAAGACAGGTACATTCCACATTGCTGTTGTGCAGTCTGGAAAGCTGCTGTTTTATATTATTTACAGAACTGTATTGAAATATTTTCAACTATAGGGCTACACTGAAGTCACAATTTAAAAATCCACACGCAGATGACAGTATCTCAATGTATGCTGTAGTATAATAGTGAAAATGAACTCAGGCTGTTAAAAAAAAATTTATTTTTTTCCATGAAAGATTGATACTACAATCAATATAACAATTTCATCAGTCAAGTATGTCTGTTATAGGCAGGCACAACATTACAAAACAGGCAAGTACAATGCCTGATTAAGCGAATACAGTCTGAATAGCTATTCATCCACTATTTCTGAAAACAGAATTATCAAATATCCACCAGGGAAAAAGATGAACTATTTTAGTTTCTCTTTGGCATACTTATCAGGACAATGAATCAATTACAAAAGTCTTCTATTGCTGCCAGTGCTGTGAAGGAAAAAGGACTGAGTGGAAGGTTGTACGTCAGAACTCGCTTTTAAGACTTGGGCAACCTTAGGCTCACATATCCAAACTGGTGACAAATGACAGTTCAGCTGCCAATGCTTCTTCACAAGGCAGACAAGGATTACATTGTTTTACACTGCAGGTTTGTGGAAGGTATCAAAAGAGTTACAGTAAATTTATGCACAGTACATACATATTACACACAGTTATATAAATACCCATGCTGCGGCTGGACTCAAGGAAGTTGCTTTACCAACACGAAAGCTCAGTCTCAGACCTCCCACCAGCCACCTAATACACATTGCACTTTGCATCCAGTAATATGCCCATTTCTGTACCTCTCTTAAAAATAGATTTAAAGCAGAAGTGAAGAATAATATCGAATCTTTCCATAAACTTTGTTTTCTTATTTACACTGTAATATTCCATTATACATAAAGACTGCGTAACGATACGTTATCTTCATATAGCTTTTTGCAATACATACAGCTTGGAGCTATTAACATCTTGGTTTGGGAACACAGATATGACCTATAAGACTATTTAAAAACAATTTGAGCCTTAATTTTGCTCTAGTTTGTTTCACTGAAACCATTCTTTGAACCAAAAAAAAAAAAAATCCTCCTTATTGGAGAGGAAAAAAACAATTCATGTTTAAATCACCTCTGGATTTCCTTAAACCACTGAGAAACTTAGAAACCATAATAATTTTTTGCATAATTGCAAAGCCACTTCAAAGGCCTGTCACTTTTAAATTTAGATAGAATATGAATGACAATTGTGACCATATCTTTAAATTATTTTTTTCTTAACTTTTGGTTATTTTTCAACACAAAAAAATGAAAACTCAATCATTAATCGTACATGATCTTTGCACAGCTGGGGTGAGTTCCTATTTTATTTGTGAGACAAAATGAACATGCACACAACCCCCATTCACAGAGTGAGAACATAAACTACAGCAGCACTTGTCTCAAGTCATGGTGCACATGGTTGCAATACGGAGTATAAAACAAAAGCAGAATTTCCAACATGTGTTAAAACACAAAAAAAACCCTTATTGTACAAAAAGTCATTCACATTCTTTGCAATGAAGTGAAGAATCAGCTGCTTTCTGGACTCTCCAGCCTGCAAACTCCTCCTTCTATTGCCACGGACTGTCCTGCCACAGCTCCAGGTGGAAGTCTTGAAATGTGAGTCATTTTTCTATCTTGTTTGCATTAATGTTTAACACATGAAGAGAAAGACTATGACAGATGCATAGAAAAGGTAAATTTGATGAATCAATGCACTGAAAGTAGAAATATTCAGAGTGAAGACAAAGGAAAATAATTCTGGCATTTCCTGGTTTATAGGTTTTAGGTTTATAGTATATAGGTTTATAGTATCCCTATTTCTTAGGGAGATTCAGAAGTCTTTCCTACCGCATACAGAAATACACCTTCGAGAAACCTCAGAATTAAATATTTGACAAACTAACACTTCAGAGAATAAGGCAACTGCAATGATCAGGATGCAAGGAAGAAATTTCTCTGCATAAAACACCTACCCATCTACCTAAAAAACTCCAAAGACTTCCTGTTGCCAGCTACCAAATAAATGAACCCAAAGAACAATTGTGTTTCTGCCAATAGGCATCTTTTCCACAGAAAGTTTTAAAAAGCCTTTGAGAATTTTTCAGCCAGGAAGTGGGTACATTTATCTGTGTGCACAAAACTCCAGTTTATAACTGAATTGTAACTCAGTGACCCTAAAAAACTGCTAGTGATCCTTTATATACTGGGGTATGTTTTATGAAAAGATACTTTGACTTACTGTTAAGAGTAATGAATTTTTATCCCCCTTTGCACATGTTTTTACACCATGAAAACTGCTCAAGTTACATTAAATTAGAACTAGAAATTAATCCTGCTATGGTATAAAGCTCACAACTAATGTTGCTGGCATTTAGAAACTACAGTTTCCTGTAAGTGCAGCCCACCACATATTTGTCTGTGCATATGTTATCCCATTTAAAAGATTTAGTTGTTGCAAAATGTCTAACCTGCAATGACACAACAGGGTGTCACAAAAAGCACAAATGTAAAAGTTCAGTAAGAAAAGTTTGCATCAATAGAGCAGAAAGTGATTTGAGACTCTAGACTCAGTTCATTACACTGAAGAAACATTTTGTGTCTCAGGCAACTTCTTCTTATTCCTTTCTTGATAAGGGTATCCCTGGTGCCTGCACTTAGGTTTCAGTTAAATCACAGAATAAGATTTATTTTAAAGCATTTCAATGTTTTCATTTTATTGCTTTCCAGAATTTATTTTGATACATGAGCATGTCCCTACTTTCAGAACAATTTCAGTTACAATTGTGATTTATCATTCCAAGAGAATAAGCCTTTCAAATCTTAGTTTCCCCCAAAATGTAACTGACAATTTCTCTGTAGATGTCATTTCATAAATTTAAAAAAAAAAAAAAATTAAAAGGAAGAGAATTAAGTGGAAGAAAGGTATTTTTATTCTATGACAGATAGATCCATGATATTTTTCCAGGTTTATGAGAATTTCTAAATGAAATGGATCACAATATAAAAGTAGCAGTTTGATGGGCATGGTAGCAAACTTGCTTCCTCAGAGAAGAAGGCTACTGGTTGTTTAGTGAGGTATTGCAATGAGAGCAAACCACTAAGTTAATCCTAATAAGTTTTTGAGCAAGGGAAGGAAAATGTACAAGAGGGGATAAGCAGGTAGTCATATCAATTAATACTTTAGCAAGTAGCTATGCTTAAATAGCTGCCCACAACACATTTCCTATAGAAAACCTCATTTCCTATGTCAGGAGGAACACATTTCCCATACACAAGACCCCAAACCACTATACACTAGAATCTGAAGATTTCCATTTACAGAAACACTGAAACCACATATAACAAAGCATTTCTTAAAGCCTTTACTTGCATCCTGTTTATTTGCATACTTTCAGTGATGGAGTAAATACAGATCTGGTTTACACTGACTACTTTTTATTACTTTCACCAATGGCTGCCTTATGTAGAACAAAAATGAAACAGATCTAAGATGATAATGTTTAAGATGTTACTTAATAAATAATTTGAAAGGATAACATTGCCATGTCAAGACAACTTCAGAAAACTCCCAAGTAAATTCTTACAATTATATCTCCCTTGTTCTTAACCATAAGAACAAACTCCAGTAAATAAAAAGAAACATCAAAGAACACTGAATATTTTTAAATGAACCACAGAACTTATTTGTGAAGTTTGTTACATTTTTATATCCCAACATCATATTTTACATTAAGTCCAGATTGTATAGTCAATTAGGTTTAGATTTTTGAAACTTAAAAATAAAAAAGCAAACAGAAAAGAATGACAGGAAAGGTTTTAATTGAACTCAATTAGTCTGTCAGCTTTACAAGTTGAATGAACCCACACCTGGAAGAAATTGTGCCTGGGACCAGTAAAAAAAAAAGGAAAAAATAATTTTCCTGAATTAATCCTCCACTAAACTCCACGGAAGCCTCTCTTTAAGGAAAGCTTATGTCAAAGAATGGTAGAATGATGGAGTTATTCATATCTTCAGCTTCATATCTAGGCATTTTACAGTCCCAAGAATATCCTGACTTTCTTTGCTTTCCCAGAGAAAAGCAAGGTTGGTGAGGGTCCAGCAGGGGATGAGGTATCAACATCTGGGACACCAGTCAGTCACCACAGATTTTTGCTGCAGCCTGAAGGAGGAATATCCCGCCCACAGTTCCACAGGTAAACAGGTAAATGCTGGAAAAAACATTTGGTCTTTTGTCTCCTAGCCCTTCATAAAGCTCAAACGAGCTAACCAACCTTCAGATGCTGATTCTTGCTCCATGTTCTTGACATCCAAAACACACAGAGCTTCCCTCTTTCCCTCCTAACCAAACCAACATCACGAACTACCGATGCCCCCAGCCACAGCGCTGCAGACACTGCAATGTTACTCTCCCCCAGTGCTTTTTGATGCACACTGCAAAGTTCCCCACTGCTTACAAAACTAATAGGTATTTCTGCTCTAGAATATATGGAATACAACTATTACAGGAATAATACATGGTTTCATCTTTTTGACTTACATTATTTCATGTCTCATAGACAAGGATTCTGAAACAACCTTGAGACCAAGGAATAATAAAAAAGGTTTTCTTTTAAAGAGCTAGTCTCCTCCTTCTATTCACATAAAAGTATCAGTTTGTCACAACAACTTAAGAGAAATTTTCTTTCATTGAAAGCATAAATACATTGTAAAATGAATATATAAAACCAAAGCCAAGAGACAGACAGTGCTGCATGAGAAAGCTGAAATCAATCAAACGCTGCCAAGAGGACAGAGTACAACTACCAGATGGCAGCACATTCAGTTCCTAAGCAAATCTAGGGAGTACTTCATGTGTTTAGCACTCTTATTACACACTCAGGATGTGCTTTAGACAGAATAATTTATAAAACAAACTTTTTCCATTCATTACATTATAGAGATGAAATATAATGAAAGACCAAGGACACCATATCCTTAAGGAAATTGCTTTCTACAACTTTGCTCCCTGAAAAAAAGGCTACCACCAAACCCACATATTCTTTAGAAATCTGGAGCCTTCTAGCTGGGTACACACTTCCACCATCAGAACCATCTGACCACACGTTCTGAATTTATTTTCTAAGCAGTAAGAGGCCATTTTGGCAGCAAACCTGCTGCTCTGTCTCTTGGTAATCTCTCCTTCAGCATGGTTTGTATGTACACCTGTAGCATGGCAGAAGGTGCCCCATGAAAAACTGGCAACTGCTGCTATCAGAAAATGCCACATGCATCTTGTTTGATGAATCCTTAACAAAGGAAAAAAAATGGGGAAAAAATAGAAAGAGAGGCTCCAGATTATTGTCCTTGTTGGGAAACAACAGAAAGACACAGTGATGAGGTAACTTCTGGTCTCACTGCACTGAAAATAATGATTTTACATACAGATTGCTTAGGAAGTTAACAGTTTTCCAAGCTCAAATTCATTCTGTGGGTTAAGTATATCACTGTAAACTATTAATGTGTCTAACTAAATCACTCATACCTGTATCAAGAGAGACTAAAGACATACCAACCAATCATCTAATCAGCTCTGTGACCTAGGGTTCTGTAGAGGCATTCTAAAACCCTGTCATGAATCTTCAAACGTGATTTGTATCACTGTGAATTACAGGCACTAAGTCAGGTTATTGCATTTATATTTGCATACCTGCACACACAGTCCCATCTTCCCTACTCCACTCTGTCTGCCAAATCCAAGAAGAGTTCCAAAACTACTGGCTTTATGCAAGAACCCAACCTCAAAAATGAACTTATCTTCTCATCTCAGAGCCAGTTAATTTCCGTGAAGGTCTATGAGCCAAACATTTTAACTGGTATCTAAGCACTGAAGGTTATTTCCAACAAATAGAAAAACCTTATTTTTATGAGAGAACTGGATGGTCCACTGTACGCACAGAGTAGTTTTCAAATGAAAATTTCTGACTGATTCCCCAGTCTCCAGACAAGAGTGAAGATTAAAGAAAATAAGTAGAACAGTGACATATACTTTTCCTGTCTCATGAAGTTAAAAGACTGTCTCTGTAGTCTGAAATGAATGACTGAATTATTTGACTTCGTATTCCTGCTCACTAAACAGGCTCAGTAAATTTTTCCACTAATTTTCAAATTAGAGTTAGGATTCTTCCAAGATGTGTTTCTTCACCCAATGAGCACTGGAAAACTGCCCTTCTCCTGACAAAGGGCTTTCACAGACCCTTCACTCACAAAGTCAAATACAGAAGCTCATCCTCAGAAAACCAACAACAATCACTACAATCAGTGTTTGTCACATGTATCACTTCAAACATAGAGGGAAGGACTTTTGCTAAATTTTACAGCGTCAGTAAAGGCAAATAAATCTGATGATGACAGCTTACATCTCCACAGGAAAAGTGAACTGGAGATGGTCTCCCTGTCCACCATGTTTGCTCATACTGGCAAATGAAATTAACTGTCAAAGATAAAAGTTTCTGTTTGCACATTGCAACCACAACATTTGGTGTGGACAGCAGTTGCTGCTGATGGATGTTTTCAAACACAGCAATATGCAACACTCTCCACTACTGCTGCACCATGTTTTGCAAAGTAATGTGAATTTGGTTCA